ATTGGTTTCAAAGAACATCTTTATTTCTGCCTTCATTTCGTTATGTACCCAGTAGTCATTCAGGAGCAGGTTGTTCAGTTTCCATGTAGTTGAGCAGTTTTGATTGATATCCTTCCTTTTATGAGAATTAAGAAACCTAACCTGGATTTAGATGAACACACACCCCAAATTCATTTGAAGGGAGTCTTGCAGCCAAGAAGGTTATGATGACCACATAGCTCTTACCACTGTTACATCTCAGCTGTTTTGCTAAACATCAGATGATGGTGGGATAGTTGCACAACCCTGTGAATACACTAGAAACCAATGTCTTTTACACCTTAAATGAGTGACTTGTGTGGTATGTGAATTATATCTCAATGCAGCTGGTAAATAAAGCATCAGAGAAGATTTGGTTGTTCAAGAAGCATTGTCTATTTTTTTCCCCCAAAGAACAGGATGCTGTCATCTTTAGGCTCAGTATTGAAGTTCAAATTTATGAATCACTGTTATGATGAAAAGCTTCATGTGATTGTCACATGGTTGCTTGGTATTAGTTTTGCCAAGTATTTGAATAGTTTTATTTCTGGATTTCTCCTATCTGTATTATCTTTTAAATATTTGTAGTTCATGCCTTTGCTAATCAAGTATATCTGTCCTATGTTCTGCCAACTGATAGAAAGCAGCTCACACTTACAGTTAAAGAACCTGAAATGATTTCCTCAAGCTTTAATGCCCAGTAGTTATTAAAAATCTTAAATAGACCTCCAGTGTTTTGACATTCTAATCACCCATACAAGGGCTGAAATTATTTTTATGGATACATTTCTTTCTCTGTTACACATTAATTAACAAGTACTTTGTATTTCCTTTTCCATTATATACATAGGAGAAAAGATTGGCTTATAAAAGTTAAGACCAAAGTATTAATTGTATTCAAGATCTTGAATTTTATTGGGTCATAGAAAAGGACAGTTTAATTTAAAATGAATTGATTTATCATATAAAGTATATAAAGCTTTTAATTGTCATTATAGGGAAAGTTCAGGACTGAGGAAAGAGCTAGGTCAACTTTATCATCCTCATTTTAAGGTTAATAAGCAGTATATGTCAGGAGATAGCCAAGAGTCTAGCAAATCATATTTCTTTTTAATAACTTCATCGAAGTATAATTCACATATCATACAATTCGCCCAATTAAAGTGTACAATTCAGTGATTCTTAATAAATTCAGAAGGTTGTGCCACTATCATGGCGATCCAATTGTAGAACATTTTTATCACCCCCAAAAAAGAAACTCATCCACCTTAGCAGTCACTCCCCATTTCCCCCTAGTCTTTCCAGCCCTAGGCAACCACTAATCTACTTTCTGTCTGTATAGATTTACATGTTATGGACATTTAATACAAATGGAATCATATGTAGCACAGCTTATTTTAATACTTTAAAATAGAGAAATGTAATATTTTAAAATATAGAAAATATGGAACATTTGCAGAAACAACTATTAGTTGAGAAAACCCATTTTCTTCCATGTGAAGTCGAAATTATGGGATAGGCCATTTAAATCTGGGGCAAAATTGAAATCATTATAGGTAGAAAAATCTTATTTCAGTGCTCACTTTAGTTTGATCTGTTGACTCTGTTACATCTAGAGATCCTCTATTAGGAAAGGTTTGTATCTTTCACCAGTGGGTGTCAGCATCTGACTAAAGATGACTCTTCCTAGACCCACTTCTGTAAATAACCTTGAAGCCAGTCTTGCAACATCAGTAACAACAAAGGTTATTTGAATCCTGCACTCATTTATGTGATCACCTTAGAGTAAAAACCTGTAACAAGTCACATTAATGACACATTATTTTTACCATTATATAGCTTTGAAGATTTTATCACCCTTACTGAATTTCAACTCTGATTTAAAAAAAAAAAAACAAAAAACTGTTAGTGTTACATAATAGAGCCTATATTCTAAAGGTGAATGAGGAATAGATTTGAGTTTTTATACAGTAATGTTTTAATGCCTTCTGCTACCAGATACAGACATGTTGAGAAATGGTGCTGATTAGCCTTGTCATTTGATTAGCCTCGTCACGGGTAATCAATTGCATTAGGCAATTAAATGCTGAAACATTAGTTTGTTTAACAAGTTTTATGCTATGCTGACTATTTTTGTCTTCCATTCTTGCAGGATATCTCCTGGGTAGTGAAGATTATTATTCCCATGAGCGCTGTACATTAATTGATGCTCTGAATGTCACACGATGTGCTCTTGATTTTCGAGATGGCGAAGAAGTTGCAACAGGATATAAAAATATGTATTCAACAAACATATTCACCAAAAGGGCTACAGCCCTCATAACTAACCATCCACCAGAGAAGGTAAGTTGTGCTTCTATTTACTGATAGCAAAATCTTGTTACGCTAATGTCTTTTCAGACAAATGTAGGAAAAGGCCATTGTTGTTTAGGGAAAAGTCTAATGAATTCTGGGGAAGTCCTTTACAAATTATACAATACCCCAGAATCAGCCTAGGAAGCTTGTTAAAAATGAAGATTCCTGGAGCCCACCTCTAGAGTGTGATTTATTAGGCGTGGGAGAAATCTGTACATCAGCATTTTAGAGAAACTCTTAAAAGGTGATTCTTAAGAGTGGCCCCCAGATCACGCTTTGAGGAATACTATGTTGGTAGTATTTCAAGAGAAATGTAGTTTAAAAATTTTGGTATATTATGTGCATGCGCTGTGAGTAATTAATAAAATGACTTTAAAATGATTGGCTTGGGTAGAAGATGAGGCTTTATTATGACAAACTTTTGGTTAAAGGATCCATAAATTTTGGGATCAGGGCAGGTCCTCTAACCTTGTACTTCCTTCCTACACGAATATTTTGCTATTGTAGGTCTTTTGCATTTCCATGTTAATTTTAGAATCATCTAGTCAGTTTCTGTTTACCAGCTCTCCCCTCCCCAAAGTGTCTGCTTGGATTTATATTTGAATCTATAGAACAACTTGGGGAGAATGGATGTCTTAACAATATTGGGTCTTCTAATCCATATACCTGGTACATCGATGAGCTTATTTTTCACATTTGCTACACTGATGCTATTGTGTATATCATGAATAATCTTATTATTATGATTATTTTATTAACCTAGAGTTAACTTCATGAGGTAAAGTTTAAGCTAAGTTCTCTGAATTTAGCTTATACATGCTTTTGAAATGGGAACAAATATTTGTATTGTCAGACACTGGGCTCATTAAGAACACCCATAAAAATAATACTTCAGTGGGACCCTGACACGACAAATTATAGAATATGCATTGCTCCCTGGTTCTTCCAATTCCCTGTACTTTGCCTCTTTGACAATGCCTGGAGGTCCTTGGTGCAGGTCTGTCTTAGTCTGTTTGTGTTGCTATAAAGGAATAGCTGAGGCTGGGTAATTTGTAAAGAGAAGAGGTTTATTTGGCCCGTGGTGCTGCAGACTCTACAAGAAGTGTGGCACCAGCGTTTGCTTCTGGGTGAGGGTTTCAGGAAGCTTCCACTCATAATGGAAGGTGAGGTTGAGCTGGCGTGTGCAGATCACATGCCAGGAGAGGAGAGGAGAGAGAGAGAGAGAGAGAGAGAGAGACCAGGCTTTTTCTAACAACCAGCCCTCTCAGGTACTAATACAGTGAGGACTTACTCATAACTGCAAAGATGGCATGAAGCCATTCGTGAGGGGATCCACCTCCATGACCCAGACACCTCCTGTTAGACTCCCACTGGGGATCAAATTTAAACATGAGGTTTGGAGGCGGGTCAGATATCTAAACTGTAAGATGATCACCGTGTGGATTCCGGTTTACATACCTGTTTGGATTTGGTTTGTGGCTGCTGATTCCCTTTTCTGTTTCTGCCTACTTGAGCTCAGTACTGGAAATCTTCTCTGGATGAGTTAAATGCCAGATTGCTGGCATCCTTATTTGACTTCCACAACTAAGGTAAAATCTTTCAGAAGACAACTTTACCTTGAACTTCAAATTATATTTACACACTATCAAATGTTATACAACTCCTGACATTCATTAAAAAATCTGCATATGCAGAAGTGAAAACACAGAAAGAGGTGTCCGTCCTCAGGTGTGTCCCACTTTTCTGGCTATCACTGTCTTATGCTGGTATCTTGAAGCAACGTTGCTTTCTGTGAGACACGAAGAAATGGGAACATTCTCTCAAATATGTGGAAATACACAGATTTTAAATCTAAATCTAAACAAATATTCAGATAATTGGAAAAACAGTTGCTAGGTAATTGGCTTAAATCCTCAGTTTTCTTCTATATGTTTGACATTTTATGGATGCACCTTAACACTTAACAAGGTAAAGCCTTAACTGTGTATTATTCTTTGAGGGAGCCACCATTTTACACATAAGCAAACTGGCTTAGAGAAGTTAAGTAACTTGTTCAAGGTCACAAAGCTATTGAGAGTCAGAATCAGAATTTAAACTCATGGTCTCTGACTCCAGACCTCATGTACTTAATCAGCCTCCCTAGTTCACAGCTAATATCCAAGACCAGAGATTCTGAGTCCCAGCTCATGATTCACCTTAATGATTTCAGTCCTGACCATATATTAGAATCAGCTGGGAAACTTATAAAAACTACTGATGCCAAATATTGTGATTCATTGCTCTGAGGTTGGACCCAGTCATTGGTGTTTCATTATTCCTCCTCCCTGGCTCCTACCAGTGATTCTAATGTGCAGTCATCACTGATGCCTGGTGCAGTGAGAGCCATTCTGGGATGGGTCATTCAGGACATTCCTCTCAAATATGGAGAGGCAAGCAGAAGCCAGCTACCCATTACAGGTTCACAATCTGCTATACCTTAATCATGCAATAATTGTAATCTGCCCACAATACAAATTCATTCCTACTAAAGAACAATAGAATATTATCTCACAGGGTTCCATAACATTAAACAGATAAGAGAAAGCAACTCGAGTGAAATAATACATCTTTGTGGGTGGGCTCTCTTAACTAGGGTGGTGGGGAAAGCACGGAACTGACGACAATAGGAAGCCCTAAGAGCTTGCTAGCCACGGAAGGAGTGTTATTAGCATAGCCGCTGTTCATAGGTAACTGGAAATTGCCAGAGGAGAGGATGGTCATTTTCTTGTCGTGTCTGAAACATGCTGTAGCAGTATCCAGCATTCCCAGTATCCTCAAAGGAAAATTTCAATCATAGACATAAGTGAATGAAACAATCAATAGTCAAGCTGTAACCCAAGAGTGTTTAAGACAGCTAATACATGTTTACATTTTCAATTCTGTATAAAATGATGCAACTCACCAGTTTGAGGAGCTGCACTTTTCATGATTTTATCCCGATGTTGAATCTAATTCTGGGCTGATTTCTCAGGTACTGTATATAGATTGCAGCATAAAGAACTTATTCTAAGATAAAAATCATTAAAGAAAGGCACATGCAGAATCCACAGACTAACTTAAAATTGTGCCTATTTTAAAAAGCACTTGAGGGGTAAAAGCATTTGGAGGTAGTTCATAACTGAAACACAGTTGCTGATGCTGGACTCAGGAAGGTACTGCTAATCACCATTTCACATGTATTAAGAAGGAATGTCCTTTCTCTTTTTCAGCAGGATAATTCCCCATACTAGTGACACAGACTGAAAGCAACATATTCATAAAATATCTTTCTTTTAAAAACAGTCCCCCCTCAGCCGGGCGCGCTGGCTCATGCCTGTAATCCCAGCACTTTGGGAGGCCGAGGCGGGTGGATCATGAGATCAGGAGTTCGAGACCAGCCTGATCAACATGGTTAAACCCCGTGTCTACTAAAAATACAAAAATTAGCCGGGCGTGGTGGCATGCACCTGTAATCCCAGCTACTCAGGAGGCTGAGGCAGGAGAATCGCTTGAACCCGGGAGGCAGAGTTGCGGTGAGCCAAGCTCATGCCACTGAACTCCAGCCTGGGTGACAGAGCAAGATTGTCTCAAGAAAGAAAAACAAAACAAAACACCTCCACCTCAGCACTTTGCAGAATGGAAGCAAATGTTATTTTATACTCCTAATATACTAGAAGCTTCTTAAAGAAAATGTTAATTTCTAGTGGAAGACTCTTACTTTTCCGTGACACAATTTGGAAAAGAAATGTCTTAATTTAGAAGTCAAAGAAAAATAATTTCAAAACCTATCATATGCTTTTTTTCATTTATACTTTAAATTAGGCAAATACACTAAAGAAACAAAAATAAGACTTTCATCCTCACTGAAATAAGTTTTCTTAGCGTGGTGAGGATATTTACAGTATATATCTTAGGAACCATATGGCATAAATAAGAAAGGGAAAAGAACCCCCAGTATCTCAAACATGAATATGCTAATAGCTTTAGGTGATAATATCTTGCTTTTATGTAGTACTTAGATATTTAATAATGATATCATGCCTAGGATTTCATTTCACATTCCTAAGACATTGGAAAGGGTTATAGGTAGGGTTGGTGCAAAGGCAGCAACTGTGACAGTTGATCAGAACAGGGGTCTGGACCTAAGAAAAAGCAGTGGAGAGTTCAGGCTCCAGTGATGGCAGCTGCTGGCTTTAGGCTGACAGTGAGCCGAGCTCTGGTTGGCAGGAATGGGAAAATTGACCACAGCTGTTCACAGGCAGGGTCCCAGGACTAGTGGCTGCAGGTGGGGTCCTCACTGTGACTGGAGAACCTTGGAGCCCCAGTTAATTCTTTCCACTAAGCTACCATATAGTATTAAAAACACTACTCTTTCTCTTTTTTCAATTTAAAAATAGTATAGAAATAGTTCAAATTTACCACTGTCGGGGAATAGGTTATAATATTTCATGAATAAAGTTCACCTTCTGAGTGTTGAAACTTTAGTTTTTGTAGTATGGAATGGAAATATCTAAAATGTGCATCAGTCCTGACCTCTTGAAATGGGCTATACTACTGATATGGACTGGTATAGTTTCTTATTTTTAACCCCTCAAGAGTGTCAACTTAAAATAATCAAAAGGATCAGAATCTAGTTTAAAGAGAGTTTATTCAAGTACAGAGTTTAAGGATGGCCTCTTGGGAAGCACAGATTCCAAAGAATGGAAGTCTGTGTTTCAAAGTGTAGAAGTTTGGGATTTCTTACTGTATTAGTCCATTCTCATGCTGTTATAAAGTACTGCCTGAGTTCCACTGGCCCTCCAGTGAGCTGAGGGTTTTTGCAAGAAAAAACAAAAAAAAACAAAAAAAACTGCCTGAGACTGGGTAATTTATAAAGGAAAGAGGTTTAATTGACTCACAATTCCACATGGCTGGGGAGGCCTCAGGAAACTTAACAGTGGTGGTGGAAGGGGAAGCAAACAAGTCCTTCTTCACATGGCAGCAGGAGAGAGAAATGCCAAGCAAAGGGGGGAAAGTGCCTTATAAAACCAGCAGATCTTTTGAGAACTTATTCACTATCACGAGAACAGTATGGGGGTAACCACCCCCATGATTCAATTAACTCCCACTGGGTCCCTCCCATGACACATGGGGATTATGGGAACTACAATTCAAGATGAGATTTGGGTGGGGACACAGACAAATCACATCACTTACATAGACAACGTTTAGAGGAGCTTAAAAGAATGTCAACATCTTTTTGTGTAAGGCTTACTGCATAGTTACTATGCTCTGATTAGTCAAGGTGGTATTTTTCTTTTGGGAAAGGTATGTTTAACATTCCACACTGAAGATGTAACAGTCATGGTGTTTTTTAAGTCATCTGGTCTGAGTTAGGTACAGGACAATAAAGGAGGTGGTTAATTTATAACAAAGATCTTCAGTAAGAAGGGGAGGAGTCTGGTCTCTGGTCTTTCCTAGTCATTTACAGAACAAGAGCAACAAGGAAGAGAGTTACTCTATAATCTAAGAAACAGAGGTTGCAAACATGCTATGTGACACAGTCTCCAGGACTTAATTTTCCCCTTGACATAATTTAGAGGTTCCTGAAAATTTATATTCTTTTATAAAAGTGATGGTCATGTCTTTAGCTACTAAGGAATAATTATGGGAAAGATTTTCAGATTATTTTTTGCCATATTTAACAAAGTAAATAGAATGATTTCCATACTGAATGTTTATAAGAACCTTTAATAATGGTCCCAAAATCTTTTTTTCCCTTGTCATTGTTTCAGGAACTCCCCTGTCCTCCTTCCCAGCCATTGCCTTTAGTAATCAATTGCTGGCTGGGAATCTACTGCCCTCTTTGCCCTTTCTCTCCTTCACCAGGCGGTTGCCATGTTGCTGCTGATGACCTGGGTAAGAACATTTTCTCCTTAAGCTGTGGGCTCCCTCTCTCCCCACTGTATCCCCTACTCCCTGCGACTGTTAAGAGTCCAGATCAAAGTCACAAAATCTGGTGTTTGCACTTGAGGAGGATGGGGCCTCTGTTTCTCACACTCCAGCCTTTTGTTACCAGATGGAGTAGTCAGAAATTCTGATTTTCACCCAAAATTTTTTTATATAAAAACAGATTGATGTGATATTTCCCGATTTTTTAAAACTTTCTGTGGGCTGCAAATTGTTGTAGCTTTCTGATTTTTAATCCTATCCCCATCTGGACCTTGGCTGGTGGCTGTAGTTGGCTCAGTCTAGTGCTGAAGACCCAGATAGCAGTACCCAGAGCAGACCCATACTGCACTGTCAGGTCAGCGATGCACCTGCACGTTCTTCCTTCCGGACGTCGCAACTGGGAACTTCAGCACCCCCAGGCAAGGCGTCTGTTGGGATGTCCTGCACCATGGTCTACACGAACATAGACGCTTCAGCATGACCATGCAGCTGGAGTAGAAGGTGTGTGTGTCGAGGGGAAGCAGAGGCAGAACTGAAATGGTGTCAGAGGTTATAGAATGGACTTTTGGAGTGGGTATTTGGAATGTTTCCCCATGGAAGTAATGGAAGTACGGGTTCTACATTATCATCATTTTCATTTCATCACCTGCCTCCTTAGTTTAATAGGTTTTAAAGCAATGACTTTGATATTTAGCAGCTATTTTTAACTTTTTGAGTGTAGGGAAAACGTATTTCTGAGTTCCAAAGACCTGAACAATAAGTAAACTTTTGGGGAGTCTATTTGAGCTCTATGTATGGATACTCCTTTCTGCATTACAAGGATGTGTAATATAAAATTTAAAGCAACTTGTCAACAGTGAAGAATGAAATACGAGCACCCCCCAAAGTCTGTTTCTAACCATTTTCATTCATTTATGAGATTTAAATGCCTCAGATACTTTAACAGAATTATATGTTTATTTTTGGGTTAAACTAGTTGTTGTCTCTTTGAGGATTTTCAACTCATTAAAGAATTCTGTAGGAGCACTATGAAGAGAATGCCTTCAGAAAGGCTCATTAAAACGCAGAAGCTGACCTGGAATACCACTAATGCTAAATGTTGCAAATTGATGTAAGTGGTAAAATAGAATCCGTGTGTCATACTTCTTAGTTTCAGGAATTAAACTGGTCTTATGTTTGGTCCTGCATCAAAAACTAACAAGGCATGGTGTTCACTTTTTTTCTCATAAAATATATTTTTTAAATATACTAAACCTCTTCTAAAAGATGAGGGCTTATTTTCAGCTAAAGCAAAAAGCTAAAGCATCTATTGGTACACATCCATATCGTAATAGTGAGTTTTTCCAATAGGAAATTGCTCTTCAATTAATGTGGAGTTGGACAAATCACACATATAACCTTTCTAAGCCTCAGTTAACTCATCTGTAAAATTGCTATAACATAGGGTGGTTTCATTAAATGAGAGAGAATATGTAAATTATTATCATACTGTCTAGTATGTAGACAACATTTAATATGTGGTTGCCATTACTGATATTATTATTTGTTTGGATTAGATCCATTGAGGCCGTTCTGGGACTCTGGCTTTTATTTCCAATTTTTTGTCTTGTGTCTTTTGTTATGTTTTTTAATATCTTTATTGAGACAAAATTTACATACCATAAAATACACTCATTTAAAGATACAATTCATTAGTAAATTTTCAGAGTTATGCAACCATGACCACAATCTAAGTTTAAAACATTTTCATTATCCCCTGAAAAAAACCTTGTACCTGTTAGCAATCACTCACCATTCCTCTCCCCGACAATTTCCTACAGCCCCAGGCAACCACTCTCTGTCTCTATAGATTTGCCTATATTTCTGGACATTTCATGTAAATGAAATTGTATAATATGAGGACTTTTATGATTGATTCATTTCACTTAGTATAATGTTTTCAAGGTTTATCTATGTTGTAGTATATAAGAATACTTTATTTATTGCTGTATGTTGCTGAAAATATACCATATTTTGTTTTTCCATTCATCAATTGATAGATGTTTGTGTTGTTTCTACTCTTTGGCTATTATGAATAATGTTGCAATGAACATTCATGCAAGTTTTTGGGTGGATGTATGCTTTGATTTCTCTAGGAATGGAAATACTGGGTCGTATGGTAACTCTATGTTTTGCAATTTCAGGAACTGCCAAAATGTTTCTTCAAAGTGGCTATGTGTGCCATTTTACATTCCTGCTAGTAATGAGTGACAGTTCCAATTTCTCCATATCCTCAACAATACTTGTTCTTTTCCATTTTTAAATTATCACCATCCTAGCAGATGTGAAGTGTTACTTCATTGTGGTTTTAATTTGCATCTTAATAATGACTGATGATGTTGACTGTCTTTACATGTGTTTATTGCCTTTGTATATCCTCTCTGGAGAAATTGCTATTCAGATTCTTTACCCATTTTGTAGTTGAGTTGTCTTTTTTCATTGAGTTGTAAGGGGTTCTTTATATATTTTGGAGATGAGTCCCTTATCATATATGTGATTCACAAATATTTTCAATCCTTTCTGTAGGTTGCCTTGATATTATTTTTATTAATGCATAAATCTGAACTGTCTTATCCTTCTATATTTAATGCTTCCATGTCCTCTTAACTGATTTGCACAAACTTTCTTTCCAGCCTCTGTTTCTCTACCTTGCTCTCCAGTCTGTGCATGAGCCCCTTCAGGTCCCTGAGGAATACCTAAAGCCATATGACTTTATCCAAGACAAGAACAGGCATCACTATGCAGGAATGGTGTCCCTTATGGATGAAGCAGTAGGAAATGTCACTGCAGCCTTAAAAAGCAGTGGGCTCTGGAACAACACGGTGTTCATCTTTTCTACAGGTAAGTCTGTTAATAGGAAATCATCTCTTGGCAAAGAGATGGTATTCGATAGGTGGAATGAAGACAAATTGGAGCAGTTAGCATTGCCTTATTTAAATAAATGCAAACTGCAATAGTGGAGACATGATAATAGTGGATGGAAAGATGGATCTAAGGAAAAAGAGTGATGGGCTTCCCCCTTTCCCTCAGATATCAAAATATTCTGGGGCTGTGGCTTGAAAACACATGTTCACTAACTGAGTACGTATGAGTGGATATCACTCATATACAGGGCTGCTGGGTAGTGAATCCCTAGAGTGGCTTGTTAGCTCTCTCTACAACCCAGACATCTTCTATGGCCACAACTCCTGCCAACTAGAAGGGTCTCTGTATCATTGCAAAGAGACAGATTGTGACATTATGAAGACAGATAAATAATGGAGCCATCTAAATCTACGCAAGTGTCTCCAAGTTTAGATTTTTTTTTTTTGTATTAAAATTGTTTTGGGGGCCAGACACGGTGGCTCATGCCTGTAATCCCAGCACTTTGTGAGACCATGGTGGGTGGATCACCTGAGGTCAGGAGTTCGAGACCAGCCTGACCAATATGGTGAAACCCCATCTCTACTAAAAATACAAAAATTAGCCAGGCGTGGTGGTGAGTGCCTGTAGTCCTAGCTACTCAGGAGGCTGAGACAGGAGAACTGCTTGAACCCAGGCGATAGAGGTTGCAGTGAGCCGAAACTGTGCCACTGCACTCCAGCCTGGGCAATAGAGCGAGACTCTGTCTCAAAAAAAATTTTTTTTTTCTGACAATAAAAGTTATATATGTTATTGTAGATAAATTAGAAAAGAAGGGAGAAATAAAACTCATAATCTCAAAGATTACTTTTGAAAATCACTTTCATTATGGCAATGCCATTCTGATTCCTAATCTGTTACATATGCAACTTCCCCCTCTTATTAGAAATGGTTTTCTAAAATTTTACTGTGTTGTGCTTTGATTGTAGATCGTCATTTATTCATCATGCTGAGTACTCAGAGAACACTTTGAATCTGAAAATGCAGATCCTTTTGTTATAGGGAATTTTCTTGTATGTTTTATTTTGGAATTGTGTGGCCCTCCATCCCACCTTCCCCTATTTTTTCTGTACAGAACTCCTATTATTTGATTACTAGGTCAGTCCTCTAATTTTTCTTAGTCTTTTTTTCCCCGTCTCCTGTTTTCTTTATTTTTCTTCTTCTATTTGGGAAACCTTATTGTTTCGTAAGCTTTCTATTGAATTTATTTCAACTGCCATGTCTATTAATTACCAGCAACTCTTTTGCATTTTCTGATAATTCCTTTTTTGTAGAGTTCTGTTTTTAATTTATAGACGTCATAACTTGTTTCCCCAAAGCCTGTGCTCTTAACCATTACTTTTATATGTGTGTTATGTGTGTATATATATGTATGTATATATTTTTTTAAAGTTTGCTGATATTGCCAACATTATCTCTCTTCCTTTTGAGTTCTTTTTTTTTTTTCAGTTTGTTTATATCTTTGTTCTAGTCTGTCTTTAATGAGAGTGGTTTGGTTTTCTCAAATCCCTAGAGATTCTTGGCTGGAGTCTAACAATTTGATGGAAACTTCAAGTACGAGGTCAGGTTTGTCATCTGGTGAGTTTTACTGTAGAGTAACCATGTAGGGGTGAGGTGACATGTTGAGGAATTCATCTTGGTGTTCTACTCATACTTTTGTGGTTTTGTTGTTTTACGAGTTGTTTTGTTTTGCCTTCAATCAGGCATAGTTATTGAATGTGGCATTTGTGGAGCAGTTACTATGTGTGGGACGCAGTTCTAAGTGCTTCCTGCGAATTAGTTCAGTGAATCCTCATGATAATGAATTCTCTGAGAACTATTATTGTCCCATGTTGCAGATGTGAGAACTGAAGCACAAAGAGCATAAGTAACTTGCCCCAGTTCACGCAGCCAGGCAGAGCCTGGCTCCACTACAGTATCCTGCCTCCCAGCTGGTGATCTCAGTGGTCTCATAGGATCTCATGATATAGCAGAGCTTTCCATATGGTGTGCTGCAATATTGATCTACTGAGGAGCCTGGGCAGGGCTGGAATAGCATCTACCCTGAGCAGCCTTGTTCACTCGCGTGGGTGCTATCCAAATACCATAATTTTCTAAGTATGTCCTGCTGTAAAAAAGGTTAAAATTTGTTTTTCTCCCAAAACTTACCCTTCAGAAAAAAAAAAGGGAGACCTATTTCAATCCTTACACGATCTCTCGGATTCTGAGAGTCATTCTCAATTTAATTTATTTTGAATATCCTGGTATAGCATTTTGATTAGTGCTGGTTTTGAATGCCTAGAGAAGTTACTAGAAAGAATCAATTTAAAAAAAGATGCTAGGACATTTAACACGGATGTAGTAAAATTATTCCTGGGAAATGACCTCATTGTTGCAAGAATTGGAAGTCATAAGTTTATAAAACAAGTCTTTGTTCTAGAGATCACAGTTATACAATTTCAGAACAAATGATTTTCTGAAGTGAAAGTATATATGGATTAATGTATTGTACCTAGGCTTAAATGTGCGCAGACAGAAGTGAAGATGCTAGTTCTGGAAGACTGTATTAAATATCTCCAAGTGGCTTTGGTAATAACATTCCCATCAAGAATGCATAGGAGGCTGGGTTTGGTGGCTCATCCTTGTGATCCCAACACTTTGGGAGGCCAAGGCAGGCAGATTACTTGAGTTCAGGAGTTCAACACCAGCCTGGGAAACATGGTGAAACCTTGTCTCTACAAAAAATACAAAACTTAGCAAGGTGTGGTGGCATATGCCTGTAGTCCCAGCTACTGGAGGGGCTGAGGCGGGAGGATTGCTTGAGCCCAGGAGGTTGAGGCTGCAGTGAGCTGAGATTGCGCCACTGCACTCCAGCCTGGGTAACAGAGCAAGACCATGTTTCAAAAGAAGGAAAGAAAGACAGGAAGAAGAGTTCATGGGAAGAGGTGGAATACAATTTTTTTCATGATATTAGAGAATGAAAAAATATTTTAAGATAAATATTTCCTTCATTATATGATTACAAATATGTATGTATAATTGTACTTTCAAACAGATAGTTGACTATTTCATAAACATCTATATTTATTCAAGCTGGTAGTAATAATATTTGGAACTTCTCACTGAGAAAATGGGGATCAGCTTAAAATAGGGTTGTCTTATATTTTGATACTGTATTAATAGATATCTTAATCTTGGATCATCTTTGCTTTGTTAGGTTAAATCCAACTTGATTGTATGTATTTTTATTATACTGATGAATTCAGTTTGCTAGGGTTTCATTTAGGATATTTGCATCAATTCAGAAGTGAAAGTGGAGTTAGTGGTTTCTTTTTTGTGTCAGGTTTTGTTGTCTTGGTTGTACTCACTTCGTAAAATAGTGTGGTTAGTTTTTCCATTTTTTTCCTGTGCTCTGGAATAGTTTACAGAATGTTGGAAAGATCTTTCTGTTTAGCTGGTCCCTGAAGCCTTTTGTGGAGGCATTTTAAAAATTATTTCCATAGTTTACATTTTTCGCTGAATTATATCTAGGTGTGTGTGTTTAAAATGTTTTGAAATTAATTTTGCCTGAAATATAGTGAGCCCTGGAACTGCATGCTGAGATGATTATTCACTCCAGGAGGTTTTCCTTGTTCATATTTTAGTTTATTGCTTTTGTTCTACTTGATTTATGTCTCAAAAATATCTTTAATTACTATATTGAATCCCTGATTCAGCTTTTCTCTCATCCTTTTCATTTTTTTGGTCATTTTTCTCAGCCTTTGGAACTCTTCTGCATTACCAGTTTAGACACGTTTGCAATTTTAATTCTACACTTTAATGTCTCCAACATAGATTATTGTTGATTGTATTTTTAGTTTTTTTGTAGTGCTGTCTCTGTTTCAATCAGTACCCTTTTCTTCCAAGCTTGTTAGTATAGTAGTGACCACTATTTAATAAGCATTAAACCTCAGCGTAACCCTGTGAGATAGTAAATGGTTTCTTGATCCCCTTTTACCAATGAAGAAATCGAAACTTCTTTTTGAAAAATAAAATAAAATAATAAAGATAGGATCTTGCTATGTTGCCCACACTGGTCTCAAACTCCTGGGCTCAAGTGATCCTCCCACCTCAGACTCCCAAAGTGCTAGGATTATTGATGTGAGCCGCTTAAAGAAATTAAGTGATTAGCCCAAGGTCACACAGCTAACAACTGAAAAATCCAGAATTCAAACCAAAATCTACTTGAGGTCAAAACCCAATTACCCGAATCAGTTGTCTTTTTGCATCTCATTTTCTTTTACTTTTATATCATCCCACTGTACTGCATTTCTACATTTGTGTTCACAGGACCCATCCTTTTCCTAAACCTTTCTGAATAGAACTTCTCTAAAATCTTTATTTTTGTAGGAAGTCATTGCCAGCTAGATGCTCTTCCTCGGAGTATAGTGGTGAAGGATCTGCACACACAGAATGTGTGGCCATCTTGTGGCCTCCAGTCACTGTTCCCTGGTTGATTCCTTCTGAAATCTGCAGCTTGAGGTCAGGTTGATGCATACACCTCACAGAGTTCCTGGTGGCATATAGGCATTAAGTGTTCTACTCTACTGAACCTGATCCACCTAGTTACAGTTTCTTCTCTTTTGGCACCCTAACTCTTTGACAGGCTAAAAGAACCCCAGACTCTTCCTATCTCCACATTTTCACAGCTTTATTTTTGGGGATACAATGTGCCAGCACTGCCAGACCTTCTCTTTTCCGGCCTATTGTCTTCTGGGAGTTGTGATCTCTAAGCACATAGAAGTAGAGGAGGTAATAATTCTCCTCTGCTTAAATTAGTGCCGTCCCTTCTCGGGCTGTCTTCCTGCCTCTCTTAAGCTAGGTGGAGGGCTTTGTGTCATGAGGCAAAGCAGGGTGGGCCAGTTCTTGTTTTCTCAGCCCAGCCTCTTTGGTCTTGTAGTTTATGGACATGTCTCCAAGAT